AACAATAAAAAAAATCCATCCATGTGCTCAAATTTCCACTAACGCGGTTTCTGAATTTTTTTTATTCGTTTGCCCTTGATTATCTGATGGGCCAGCTGAACACATTACGCATCAAGAGTGCAGGAGGAGAACTGCAGCCCCCATTTTCTCACTTCTAATGGAAGACTGGGGCTCAATCGAATTGTAATTCTAGAAGCTCTGGCATTGTCGAACATTGAGCCAAAGTGGCAGGTGCCTGTTATAGTCTCCCTCCTTTGCTAATGTTCTCACTCTTTTCCCACTGATTTGAAGTCGGCTTCATCGCCTGAGAGCAGGCTGCGCATTTCAAAAAGTCTGTTTCTGTCTCTTTTTCCGAGCTGCCAAAACTCTGGCAGGTGTTAGACACGGCCAACCAGGATCTGAGCTGTGGAATGAAAGTAATTGAGCGAGTTCTTTTTCTCTATGCTGCAGACCAGTTAAGGACCCAGCTACCACAGGGACCTGGTCTAAGCCCGTCAGGTGGCTTTGCGAGATTCATGCAGGCTTACATCACAGCTTAACGAAGGCCTGATATATGGAGGCACTGCAGTCTTGTGCTGAGGGGGGAATTTTACTTTCATGACAAGTGTGGCTTGGCTGCAGTCCTGACACACCCTGGCATGCCACAAGGCAGATGGTGTGTCCCTAGGCGATGCCACTGCTCTGTAGCACCCCTCTCCTCACAACCCCATGCTCCTCCTGCTGTCGAGTAGTCATTAGTGCAGCGGGACAGGAAGGACACATTGGAACAATTTGGAAATATTAACCACCTCCTCCACCCTTACATGAACTAGACTGCAGGGGCTGGGTGATGTAGAGTTTATCTAAATTGTTGATGCCCAGGAAGGATCTGTGTATGCTAAAGTTAATAATGTTCTTGCCTGCTGATGGGCAACAGTAGACTTCTGTAAATGGACACATTACTGGACCGTAAAGGCGTAAATGTGACACCAGGTGGGGGTGATAATGACCATATAGCTCAGACAATCCTCCTTGATGAAGAGTACTTCTCAAACAAACAACTTAGTCTACACATTTGCCTCATAATTCAAAATGAGTGAAATGAAAGGAAACAGCTTTGTTTTAATCATGACTAACTGTGTTTGGTTTCATTTTTTGTTCAGTGGTAGGCAGACAAAGAGGTTTGTCATTGAATTTGCTTTTCACAGGAAAAAGAAAGTTGCTGACTAAAATAAGAACACGAACCAGGTGCTGAAAAGAGCTTTTATTGCCCAACACTGAGCTAAATATACCCGCTTGTAAAATGTAAATCGTTATGTCAAGTCCCTGTAACCTTTTTTTAAAGTATGGATGAAGGGGGCCATAATTATAGTGATTGCTGTGGAAACAACTGTGCATGTATTCCTTTAATCAGAACAACACAAATCTTGATTGTAGCTTCAAAACTGAATATTTTTGATGTTTGAATTATTTAAAAGGGTATTTCAAATACTGCCTCAGCCTCTGCAGAAGAGCAGAACAACCAAGAGCCACTTGTGACTGATTGCAAATTCATGTTTCATTTTCGGAGTACCAGCAGGCCCGGTTGTTCAGGAGGGGAAAGGGCGCAAACATTTGAGTGGAGTGTTTTACCTTCTCTGCCCTCTAGTAACATGTTTCTTTAGACACTACCTGACTAAAATTTCCAAACCCTAAATGTTAATCACTGGTGGACTGGTGCATATCTGGCCCAAGCTACTGACGACGACTTGAATCTCAAATGAAAGCTTTGTTTTTGTTTTTGTATTTTTTTTATCCATGATTGCATTTAATCCGTCCGGCTGATGCTATCACAAGTTTTCATCACATACCCGGCCTGGATTTGTCCTAGTTTATGTCAACAGGAAAGGCAAAAGGATGATGTCATGCATTTGGAGTGGCTCAACGCATAATTCAATAACTGATTGCCATTATTTCCTGAAACATGCCCAAACATCCTTTGGCCCATGATGAAGGTGCATTCAGTAGTCAGGTGGTTCAGCTCAAGGAGTGAGCCCTGCTAGAACAGCACAGTGGAGGGAATACGCAGCATAATCTAATTCTCTGATGTAAAGGTTCGGAAAATCTTGAGTACCTTTGTGCAGAATAATTAAATTCAGTTGTTTCATATAACTACTCATTGGCTGAGAGCAGCGCACTTTTACCCAAACTGGATGTTCCCACATGTGACTGCATTTCACTAAAATACACGAATGTGAAACTAGGCAGTGATGTAGAGAATTTGACGTTCTGTATCCCATTTGCGGATTTTGGTCTCAGACCTCGAGCCACTCTGTTACAGTATATGGACCACAGTGAGATATGCACTGGCCTTTATCTCCCCCATTGAGGTGATTCGTGTGTTTTTTTAGTGAGGGTTACTTATTCTTAGGTTTGGGCTGTGTTCGCAGTCGGTGACTGAATCTGGGGTTGGTTTGGCACATGATATGACTACTGATGGCTGAGCTTCCATGCAACAAGGTGTGAGATTGTAATGACACTGTGGCTGTGATGCATAATTTTTTGTATTCTCTGGGGCTACAAAGACGTTTGCTTATCTGAATGTCTGAATTTTAATCAAACTTGAGAGTAAAATATGTATATTTTGTGTGGCACAAAAACAAACCAGGACAGTGTTTGTATTGGATTTTTTTTTCCCCCTGCTTGAATTCACAGAAGCAAAACATTCAAGGAACCCATAATTATGCTGTGGCAGAAAAAAGTCCTAGTTATTTTCCCCAAAACAGATGGAGAGAGAATACTGAAAAAGGCAGATTTAACACACAGTAGCTGCTGTGAGCGCAACCATGGTACTTACTTCCCTTGCTATTATTGCCTAATCCATGTATAGTGGGGATGATCTGTGCAGGAATATACCTGCCAGCATTTCTCTGTCACTAATCGGCTTACAAATTATCCCAAGTGAACTTTGTAGCATTTAACACTTGGAAACTTTTCAAGATGTCTTTTTAAAAAATATATCACTGTTAAATGACACTTGACCTCGATGAGTACTGTGAAAATGCTGGTGCTTTCCCAGCATTCGGCTTGAAGGGTGTATCTGTACATTTTACTTGCTTCCCTGAGGCTTGGCAGGTGTGTGTGTGTCTGTGTGTGTGTGCGTTTGTGGCGCTCTCATGGGTGGCCTGCATATAGAGTTTGCTTCCTGGGAGTGTGCTCTCTCTGTGGCAAAGATGGACAGTGGTTGTTCTCGGGAAAGCTGGCGTGGTGGAGGCACAGTGCGGCGGGCATGAGGCTCAGACCAACTCCAGTCTGCCCCGCCCGCCCGGCCGGCCCCATCCACTAGATGAGTGATGAGCTTGTTTATAATGAGACCAAATCCCTTCCTGTTACACATGAGTCATTGGGTGTAGTGCCAGTCATGTACATGCTCACATACTCACTTAGGTGTTTTTATGCCTCCACACCAGCGACAGCCGTGGCCAGAGGCATTATGTTTTCGGGTTGTCCGTCCGTCCGTTCGTTGCCTTCTCATGAAAGCGATACCTCAGGAATGTCCAGAGGGAATTTCTTCTAATTTGGCGCAAATGTTCATTTTGACTCAAGGGTGGATTAGATTTTAGCGGTCAAAGGTTACTGGAATCTCACAAGAATTTAAAAGCTAATTATAAAAAAAATTCACACATATATGTGATAGGAAAAAAAATGATGAAGTGATGATATTTTATGTCCAAAAGGTCATAGGTCAACTTCACTGGGAAATCATAATGTTCTACAGAAATACTGTTTGAGATATTTTTCAATGCCATAATTCAGGGAGATTGTGACAATATTTCACATTTGGTCTGACCTGAATTGGGGACACTAATCGTACTCCTTGAAACTGTGATGATTTTGTAGATTTCTAGCTTCTTTGCAGCAACATCCATATTTAAACAATTGTCTTTTGTCATCGCTACGACTGTGTGTTCTGTCAAAGTCCGCTTTACTGACCAAGCATGTGAGCCCATACAAGGTCTCTCATACTGTTTTTCATTTCTCTCAATGCCTGTACACACTTCAAAGTCTTTACTAGATTTACTATGTATATAAGTCTGGACAGACATTGATGTAATCTGCAACTTGACTGGGAGGCAGAGGCATATAGCCACGAGGCAGTTATTCTGGTCTTGCTTGTGCACTGGCTTTAACCTTAGAAATCCTTTACGAAGATGTTTCCAAATTACAGAACATGCAGGGCTCTTCTCATCTGCCCACTGATTGGCAGAACTAGACTGTTAGGAGCCTCAACAGAGGAAAAAAGTGCCTTTTCTAACAGCTGGTCCAAATTCATGCAGTCACACACCCTCATTAGATCCAATGTCCAAGAGCACAGATGGCTCAGATGGGAGTTTATTTCCTTTCAAACAGAAGATCTTTACTGTTGAAGCGGTGTCCTGGTAGATGAAGCAAACATTTCAAGAAAACAAATATCCCCCCAGGGCACCATAGACACGGACTTGCTCCGCTCCCTAAAGGTTTGAGCAGTATTTCTGGGTCTCGGGACGTCCACCTAATTGCCATCTACTGCACAAAATGCTCAGCAAAAGAGCAAGACTGCAATTAGCCGTGGCTCACTGCCAGCTCGGCATAAATCTGCCAAATTGTTTCTCTTAAGAAAGTTGAGCAGTTGTGGTCTTCTTTCCTCTGCTTTTGAAATGTAGGCCTGTCACTAGGCTATCATATAATTAGGCAGGCCAGCAGTAGCAGAGAGCGTGCTGTAAGGCTAAAAGCTGAGGCATTGTGGTGGTGTGCTGAGGCATACAGACGCGGGGTTTTATTTATGTGTTTCTCCCTTTATCCTCTTGCCTGCCTCAGTGGATATCGCTTGGTCCTGTCCAGGGCCACAACAGTATCTGTCACTGCATCTCTCCTGACACCATACCCGTGTTGTGCTGTTCAACAGAGCAGCAAAATGAATTCCCCTCTTGCTATTTTACTTTTCCCCTTCCCTCAATAACCTCACCTTTCTTTTCTTTTTTTTGTTTGTTTATCTCCTTCAGCTCATTATCCTTGAAGACTATGCGGACCCTTTTGATGCTGAGCAGGCTGGTGGCACTCAGACCATTACGGAAAAAGTGACAACAGAGAACGATGGCTATATGGAACCATATGAGGCCCAGAAGATGATGGCAGGTAGCTCAACGCTTTCAATCCTCTCCTTTGTCTTTAATTTCCTCTATTTTTTTGTCACCTAGCAACCTTTACCCCACTTTACACCTTCAGCATTGTAATTCAGGTGACAAGTAATCAATTTGGGTCTTTACTATAATTTCACATTGTATGTCTTAGTGCAGTATTAATTAATATGCAGCTTGATGTGGCCATATGAATTAATGAAGAGGCTCCGATGGCCTCGTGACATTTTACATGACAGGTGCAGCGGAGCAGAAATGACTTGTGTGTCCCAAAAGATGTCAAAACATTTTCAAAACCAGTGACTTTGCCCGCCGGAAATCATACAAGCTTTTAAGTGATGCACTGTTTAAGATGAGAACAGGGAGGGATGTCTTTTTTTTCTTTTTCTTTTCCTCCTATGTTTTTTTTTTCCTCTCCTCTGAACTGTGTGCACGTGGAGACAGCGACTTGCTGGGATTTCCAGGAAGGCATTTTTTTGAGACAACAATAGCTGTGCTAACATAAGAATTTAGCCAAACCACATTCCCCACACAGCTTTGTCACTGCACATTCATTCTGTGGCTGAGCACAACAATGACAAAGAACACGTAACATGCAGAAAGAAGGGAGAAATGATGAAAAATGTGGAGCAAACAAAACATGTGACAGCTGTTTTGCTCTCCTGAGCAGACCTGAGTACCGAAGACAGGAATGTTACTAAAGATGTTTGTGTGAACGTCAGACCTCAAATGGATGTTTCTGGAACTGAGACGTGACTACAAGATATCCTAAATGCTCTATTAAGGCTTTGGTATGCTGACATATTCGTATCATCTACCAAATATCGGTACCGCTCACCATCTCGCACATTGCTCCCACAAAGGCAGAACACAAATGGTTCTGTCCCTCCTCAGCAATTTTCTTTTAATGGGCCTCCAGACAATCTCTTGTTTTCATCTGTCTTACTGGTTTGACCTTTGGCCCAGTCATTGCCTCAGCTGAGTAGAGAAACTCAGGATTTATCGCTTCTCTCACAAAGAGGAAGCTGTAAAGAAAAAAAAAGAAATCTGAACAGGGCTGTTGCGGTATCACTGGAATCTTCTTCCAAGTTTTTTTTATTGCTTTATAAATTTAACTCGACACAGTTCTGCATTTGGCTGTATTGACAAGCGTGCTAGTCTGGCAGCAACTGTCTGTTTAATCAGATGAAGTCTTCAGTTTATTGCTCCGGTTGTTCCTGTCTTTGAAACCTGAGGTGGTGTTGTTTTCAGGCTCCCTGCTTTCATTCATCATATGTATTGATTGCCAATTTTTTTTGGGGTGGGGTGTTATTTTTAAATAGAGTTGTTGGTGGATTTTTTGGGCTCATAATGGTTCGTGGTTTTCTACTCCCTGTCAATAGAAGGACAAGCATTAAATAAGACATTTCATTAAAACATACATAGATTGGGAATTCATTGTTTAAGGAGGGGAAATGGATAAAATTTGGTATTTTTGCCTTCCAAAACAACAATTGGTGAGTTTGTAATGTGTTATCATTGGTAGCTGAACCACTTTGGTTGCATGATTTCTCTTTATAAACGTATCTCGGGCCGAAGCCCTGAGCACAAATGGCCATTTTAAGAAATGGCTTCCTTCAAATCCACACAGTTACACACATTCACGCTTGCATGCTGCCCAGTTTAACACTCACTGGCGCAGTTAGGGGTTAAATGCCTTGCCCAAGGGCATCTAGGCGATGTAATGAGGGTCAGGCGCTTTTACTTTCTCCTTCTGTGCAAGGCCGGATGCTTCCACCAATACATCAGCATACTGGCTATGGCTATAGAGTAATTGCTGCATCTCTCATTCTGACAGCATATTGGTCAGGCAGAACTGCACACTCAGAATTTAGTCAGCTAAAAAGGAGAGAGAGGAGCTGTTGCATGGACTGCTGCACCGTAGCAAAGAAAGGACCTTGCATCCCTAAATCTGTCACTGTTGCTCTCTTTCATCTATTTTCTCGTTCACTCTTCAGGCAAGACGTTTTTCTTTGTATTCACTGACATCCTTCACTGTTGAGTTTTCTTCAGCTCTCAGCCTGGTGTAGCTGCAGCTCCAACAGTTTTCCTTTCTTCTCAGCCTCTTGCTTACACTGACGAGTGCAGACGGACGACAAAACCCCCCAAACATGCCAACGCAACAGAAAGTTTCCCATTTATGGCTGTCAACGAAAGTTTTAATCATTTAATTACCTTCTGCCAAATTTATACCATCTATAAAATGGTCAGTAAGCTCCTCATAAAACGGACTTTAACTGTCTCGACTTGTAAAATTCAAGGGTGTAAAAGATAGTTTCTTATAAAAACATGCTTCCAATTAATTTGAAGAAGTAGACTGAAAGTAAATCAGACTGTCTGACTTTTAAAGCTTTTGCAGCACTTAGGTTTCCAGTTTCAACCTGAAATTCACTTTGGATCTGCTGTTAGGATAAAAGTCACTCAATAGACATACACAAACATTGTTGATGTACCAGTTAGAATAGAATAGAAGAATAGAATGCTTTTATTGTCATCAAAAATTAAAAGACAACTCCAGTGGTGCAAAAGTATAAAAGTAAAAAAAAAAACAAGAAAAATGAGAATATATACATTTACAAAAGGAGTCAGTAGGAAGTAGATACTTTTAGCCAAACAGTGCAATAAATATATTGCACTGTTGAGGTAGAAACACTGTGGATATATGAGAAATATAAATAGCACTGGGTTACAAAAACAATACTTTTTTGAAGGTGTCTAGGATTTTTTTTAAACTGATTTAGGACATTTTCGCAACACTCAATCCAAAAAGACATCTGCTTTTCTGTATCAGGTCAGGTTTTTATGCCAACTCGATTTAAAACCAAATTATTTTACCACTAAATCGATTACATTTTTTGACATTAACGATTGATTTATTTTAGTATTTCTCATATGAAATTAGATTTTACAGGAAAATTTTCATTTTCTAATCCTTTTCATAAGCTAAATGATCCAAAAAGTTGATAAACATGTGGAAAGGTAAATACAAGTAAACTGCATGTTTCATCAAATCAAAATTTTGACCTCATTGAGCAAAACTAATGTAATATTTGGATTCAGCACATTACAATTGTCCAAAATCAGCTCAAAAAACTTTGACACCAAAATGGGTGTAGACTAGTGTAATTATTATAAATAATGTGTAATATAATTTATATAAAATATGCACACAATAGAGAATAGAATATAGTATAGTATACTTAAAAGATAATTATAATATAATATATGTAGCATAGTATAGTATAAATATATGTGATAATAGGTACAGACTATAGACTAATGTGAGTTCAGTACCCGTATTGCACTTTGGTAGAATGTGTTGGTGAGTCTGGATGTGCTGGCCTCGAGGGCAGTTTGGACAAAAATTATTCTTTATTTCCAATCACAGTGATTATGCTAATAGTTATATTTTCTTACATAAAAGGGCCTTGATTTCAGTCTCTCGATGTTGCTCATATTTCCGTGCTTTCCTACACATGCAGAAACAAATCCATGTTATTAACTCTTGAAACTGGGCACCTGAGGTTAGTGTCTTTGTTGAAACGTTGCTTGTGTTTCTGCACTGCTCCCAGCACAGATTTGCTGATGATCAGGCAGTAATCAACTCCATGAAGCAATAGTGTGACTAAGCTGTTCTATTAATGATTCCACAGACTGAGAAGTCGCATTTACAGCCACATGTACGTGAGGTCACATAACTATCCAGTGAAAACTGTGGGAATACGGCTTGTAAAACAATAGTTTCATTTAGGAAGTATCGGAGATGGAGTGTATATTGTTTGAGGCAGAGTTTCCCATAGTGGAGTTCATGATCCTCCAGGGGGCCATGAGACAGCGAGAAGGGAAGACTTCCAGAAATCTAATCAAATTTGCAAACATTTAGAAAACGTAGGCATAGTTGAGCCATAACTGTTACAAAAGGTAGAAAAACCTGTGAGTCTGCTGCTCCTACATGCTCTGTTTGTGCAGTATTACAGTCCATATGTGGAGATAAAAAATATGATGGTTTGTCAAGCTGTCAGGTGTTCTTTTGTGTTGTTATCACGCCAGTGTTTGATGAGGCCTATTAGTGCATGTGTTTGGCTGAGCGCAGTGTTTGTATCCAGCCACCTATGGGATAGTTGGGATGGCAAGTCTCCAGCACAGCATCCTCCTTTTGGGGGTCGGTGTCGAAATAGCTTGAGCCCCCCCTGGTTTAGAGCATTTTAAATGTCTTGTTTTTTGTATCTAAAATCTGCAGTTTCCATATTCTGTGTTTCTGACATCTTCAGATAAATCGCTTCCTGTGAGTTAGGAGATAATTCCCCGTAAAACCCACGAGACTGTGCATGCTCAGGGTAGCAGATAAACTGGAGTAATTACTGTTGTTAGGATGTTAGCTTAACATGCTGTTGACATTGTGCTGCTGCTGTAGGTCACTTAAAATCTTGTGAATACACCGATTTTCTTCCCCCCATTCCAGAGTTTACATAGCACAATTTGAACAGTGATGTAGCAGTTGACATAGGCACTTTGTGACTCTGACATCATTCTGATCAGCATGTATGAGGTCGGTTTGTGCTTGTGCTGATTAGAAAAAGCTTTCACTCCTCCCATCTCGCTGATGGATTATTACGCTTTACCATGTATTCACTGCAAGAAATGTAATCTACAAGTACAGAGAAACCATTTATTACAGAGGTGAGTGGAGTTCCAGCCTGTTGCCATCTTTACATACTGATGTGACGCTCTTCATTGAACATTGTTTTGCTTAAAAATATGCAAAAATATTGAAGACGCGCCGCATACACTTGTAGGGACTCCAGTCCTCTTCAACCTTTTGTCCACAAGAGTAGAAATGAATTTAAAGACACACCGCTCTGTTGATATGCACCTGCTTTGTCTTCGAAATAGTGCTTCCATAGTTTTTTTACATTTGAAAATCTACATGCAGACATGATATTACCATATAAATACAAT